CCCCCACCCCCCCCACACACACGAAGCCCCTCACTCTCTCCCTGCTCCACTGCCTCATTGACCACCTGAACGTGAGACAGGCTGAGTCTGACGTCAGAGGTCAAACTGTATTGTTGCTCTAACTGTTCTTTAAAACTTTTCTGCCTTCAAAACGACCATGATTTGAAAAAGCGGGAAGATGTCTGTTTTTTTCCCTACCGATCATCAAATACAAACTCCCCAGTCACCCAGCCATTCAGCCCATCAGCCACATGACCCCCCCCCCCTTCTCTCCACTGTCCCTTTGACCAGTTGGCCACCATGACAGCAGTCAGCGACCTGGTCACTTTGACCTCTGAGGTCAAAGTGAATTGCTGCTCTGACTCAAACTTTTATCATTCAAAAGGACAAATGCTTGAACAAAGGTGAGAAAAAGTTGTCTATTTCTTCTTGCCAATCATAAAACACAAGGCATTCAACCCATTCTTCTCCATTTATCTCTCTCTGTTCCACTAACCATTGACCAGCCTGACTTCCGGGTCATTAGAAAACACTTTCTATTGCAGCCAATGCTTTGTATCACTTTAAAACGTTTATCCATCAAAAGGACTATTATTTTTCTGCAATTATGCAGTGCCATTGTTTGAGAAAAAAAGGCAGGAAAAATTTCTCTATAAAAGCAGAACTCAAGGGGTAGTCTCCATTTCAGCAGCCTTTCGGCCACCTGAAGCACAGAGCCTTCCAGCCAGAACCTCCTTCCAGATTCTTTTGCATTTGCAGCCTTCCAGATAACAAGTAAGTCTCCTTTTTTATTGACACCATCTGTTTATCTATTTTTTTCTGTCTATCTAACAGAATCATCATCTAAATATTTGGGTTTTTTCTGTATCAGACAGCAGATCCAAAGAAACTAAAGGCCTAACTGATCCCCGGGTGCCTCACATGGCTGCTCGCTGCTCCACCTGGGTGTGGATGGGTCAAATGGCACAAATTTGTGCCTACGGGCACAAATTTCGTCATTGTATGGAAACATACACTAATGACCAATAAAGCACCTTTACCTTTATAAAAAAGATAACTCCTCTTCGCGAGCCGTCAGCTCACCGCTTTTGCAGAATGTGTGAGTGAGACTGACACACGCAGAAGCCCCCTCCTCTCTTTAGCACCTTCTCACTGACTCTGTTTCTCTCCAAATCCCCGTGTCATCGTCTTCTGTCAGCAGTGAACTTGAGGCAAAAGAAAATAAATAAAGTATATATATTACTTATTAAAACAAGTTATATTACTTATTAAAAC